AATACCTGTGACAAGGTATAAGACTTCTCTGTGGAATGAAGAAAGTACGGCCGAACGTAGATGTGGACGCTGATGATCTCAATGCTGCATTCCTGCGCCAGTCATCGGACATTCTTCCTGCCTACTCGTCACAAAATGTTTGTAAAGTAAGACCATTCTCATATTGGGATGTGTTAAAACTTTTAAAAAGCTCCAAATCGTCTTCGGCTGCAGGTCCGGATGACTTACATCCAGCCCTCTTCAATTTTGGTGCTGCTTCCCTAGCTGGAGCAATTACCTCCATTGTAAATGAATCCCTTCACACTTCTACTATCCCCGACTGTTGGAGGCCGGTCACAATCATACCAATCCCCAAAGCATCCAAATCTTGTACCCTCTTCAAACGTTTTCGTCCCATAGCATTAACATCTTCAGCACTTGAATTGACTGAAAAGGCCATCCTCAACGCCTTCAGCAGTCCATAAACATTTCCAGTGATCCGTTACAGTTTGCTTACAAGCCTAATAGATTCACCTTGGACGCAGTCTGCACCCTCATTCATTTCATCACTAAACCGTTGAACATCTCTGTTAAGTCTGTTTGGTGTGTTTTCCTCGACTACTCTTCTGCATTTGATTCCATTCGTCGATCTAAGTTGTTACAAAAACTGGAATCGTTTGAATGTCCCAAGCGATTGTTAGTTTGGCTATCCAACTATTTTACCGATAGGGTACAAACAACTAGACTTGGGAAAGCTTCATCGAAACCCTTAGTCAACAACTGCGGAGTTCTTCAAGGAGCTGTGCTATCCCCAAACCTATTTTCCACTTATATTTGTGATATCGCCTGTGTTTCTCCCGCACGTATTTCGAAATATGCAGATGACGTCATGCTGTGTTAACTCATTTCTTCTTTCTCCGATTCAAGCCCGTTCACCGACAATCTTGTCCAAACTCAGTTATTCTCCTCCTCATCGGGGCTGATTTTGAACCCCAGTATACGTTTTGAGTGTTTATATGGTTTTGCTCGCTCTCCATGTCCGACAGACCCGGCAGTGATTAGCAACAATCCTTTATCCAGGATGAACTCTGTCAAATATCTTGGTGTAAGATAGATATCAATCTTCATTGGTCAACCCACATCCACAACTGCATTGGTAAACTGCGGCACCTATCATTTCAAATGCGAAATCTCAGGCAGTTTCGTGCATCCCAGTCAGTTATTTCCACCTTTGTTTATCAGTGTTTTTCCCATCTTGCTCAACTGTCCTCCGGTCATTTTTCCTGGCTTACTCATTCCGGATTTCAAAATCTTACGTCTCGGTCTAACCACTATTACTCGTCTCTTCTCTTCCTGTGAATGAGTTAGCTGTGAAGCTTTCAGAGTATCACGTAACTTCCTGTGTGAAATTTGGTGAGAGGATTCTCACAGATCCTGACCACCCAGTTCAGTTCAGTTCAGTTCAGTTTCTACAAGCATTAACCCTGCACTTTCGTGCACCGGTTTTGGTTGCTGTCTTTTGGTGCCCCATCTGGATAAAAAAGCAAAATGAAGATAGGAATGTTGAAAGCAAATTCAAGCGGAATATGGAAAATTCATATAGAATAGTGAAAGGGAATAATGAATGGATGCACGAGCGCCACCGTCGGCAACACCCAGCCATATCACTAAGTGTCTCTAACCATCGGATATGATCATCCCGTGGTCCCCAGCCAGGGAGCCTAAGGGATTTATGTGACCCAGACTCCTGGTTAGGGTTTTCATACCCTCGTGCCAGATCTTAGCTTGACCACCCTTTACTTTTTTCCACCCATTGCCTGCCTCGGCAAACATCGTTCGCCGTGGCAACCTGTCTGTTGACGTGCGCAACACATGCACTAACCAAAGTGATCTATGCAGGTCGATCACTTGTTCCAGTGGACGACCGCGAATGCCTAAAACTCTGTGCCTAACCCCAGTATTGCTCGTCTGGTTACCCCACCGTAGGGCAGGACTGGCCGGACTGTCGCGGCATACACTCGATCCTTCACAGACAGCCGAATGTCGCGACGGCGCCACAGATGTCTCAGGTTGACAAATGCCAATCGAGGTTTCTGTATGTGTGCTGACACTTCATTTGTGATGCGTGCGCCAGGTGTGATATAGCTCCCCAGATAGCAAAATTTGTCTACTTTCTTTATTACTTCCCCAGTTAGGGTGAGGCTGAGTGCAGGACCAGCCCAGTCTTGAAGTAACAATTTACACTTTGAAGGTGCAAAACGCCTACCGAACATGGCTACACTAGCATTCAGACTATGCAGAAAGGGTTGTAACTTGCCTGGATGTTCACTTAGTAGCACAATGTCGTCTGTATACTCTAGATCAGACAATCTGCCGCCTGGAGGTAAATTGATACCGCTATCCTCGCATGAGGATAGGGCTGTTTCAAGAATGGAATCTATCACGAAGTTCAATAGAATCGTGGAGAGAGGGCAACACGCAAGCTCGGACTCAACTTCGGCTATCAGTATAAAGGAATTGTTGTATTTAAATAAACTTCTAGAACACACCTTTCAGGGAAAGGCAGCGCCAGAGTTTAGAGCGGTCGACTGAGTCGAAAGCCGCTTTTAGATCGAGGAAGATAGAATTGTTGGTCCGCGAAAGGAGTGCCTATGTTCTAGAATTTGACGAAGTGTGAAGATGTCGTCGATACAGCCTCGGCCAGATCTGAAGCCAGCCTGGTTCTCACGCGTGCACGGTTCACGTGTGACAGACCACCGACTTTGTTTAATACCAGCGAGAAGTGTAGATGCAATGTTGAATAAACTAATTCCTCTGTGGTTTTCACAGAAGGATCTGTCACCTTTGTTGTAAATCGGTATGATAACCGATGCACACCATTGGGACCTCTTCCCTCTCCCACACTGAACCCAGGAGTTTTGGTAACTCCGAGACTAATGCTGAGCATCCATCCTTCTAAAGCCGATAGGGAAAGCTCGTCGGGGCCGGAAGCCTTATGCTTTTTGAGGTAACTTTTTTCCCCGGTAATCTCCATTTCAGGTGGAGCACTGATGTCAACTGACAGTATTTGCACAGTCGAATCCGGTGAGACGAGGTCTTGGGTCGAACGGGACCAGGTGAACTGTGCCTTCGAATGTTCTGCCCAGCGTTCAAGTCGACGTTCCTGAATTTTAACCAGTGTGCCGTGAAACTCTTTGATCACCCCACTTGAGCCTTTTTTTCCTTGGTAATGTACTCCTAATTAAACGTAGAAGATTGCGATTATTTCCGATAACCNCCGAAGCCCTCTCCAGCTCCCTACACTTCCTTACCCACCACTTCTCGTGGTCATTCCTCAGACTCTTGATGAGCTTCCGTTTAAGGAATTTTGCGTTTTATCCTATTTTGAATTCGAAGGAATGGCTCTGCAACCGTCCAGCAGGGCAACCGAGGTCGAGGTAATCCATCGTTGTTTATGTGATCCTGCGCCACAATTTGCCGTTGTTTATATCGACGTTTGGATCGATTCCTTGATTGCCGACCAGTGTTCACTGAGTCCTCCGGCTGATGATTGAGCTGAGCGGCGATCTGGTAGTTCCGCCTCGGAGGCATTTTTGCAACTGTTGGTGATACTGTATTGTGGGCG